AACCCCAATATACCACAGTAGCTTCCATTCTCTTTTCCATTATCCCTATATAACCCCAATATAACCCCTATATGGCCCTAATTTCTCGGTGTTCTCGGACTTGGGCTTTTACAGCAAGCTTCAGAGCCTCAAGCACCCCACACGTAGTGGGATTCTTGTTAAAGCAGGACTACTGTATGGCTTCTGCATATTGACAGAATGCCTTTTACTTACTGGTTCCGACTATGGGTTCTACATAATATTAACTTATAGTCCCCCTTAATAGTCCCCCTTAGGTATATAGAATATGGGGTATATGGGGATCTTATTATAACATGCTCAAAGCCGTATTCTATTCTATCTACTTGATAATTCTTTCGCTACAGGTGAACTCAGAGGAGCTCCGGGGCTATCATTTTGCTTTCCTGGACTACTACAAGGAGTATTGCGAAGCCAAGCCTGGTCAGGCCACGGATTAGACGCACTCCCTGCGGTTTAGGGGTTTAGGGTCTATAGGGTGTGAAGTTTAAGTTTTGGGGCGTTACTAGGGACGGAACCCAACAGAGCCTCCTTAAAGACTGCAGTCCTTTCGAAGTGGGGCTGTGCGGTTCCATGGTAGATGGGGTAGGGTAGACGACCGTGACAATCTGCCCCTGTAGAAACCCATGGATCCTTCCAGAAGCCTTGCATGGTCCAATCTTGAGTTTCCAAGAGTCTTGTGGGAAACCGAGCTGCAGGGTAATGGCCTGGGTGAAGCAGGCATGCTTTTCAGGGACATTGAGCGGTCGCCTGCCGAAGTCGCAGGAGTGCTATGAATCCTCGAACTGTTATGGTAGCTTTAGCAGGATCTTGAAGGAAGAATTGCGGGGAGAGCATCCAGATTGCAGTGTACCACGCAGCAGGAGCCCAAATGTCTCCTAGTACTAGGATGAATGGGTCAGCCTTTCAAACAGTTTTGATTTTTTTGTGGGGCTCAATGGTACGAAGGACCTTGTGCTGATTCAAGGTCAAGTCCATGAGAAAGCTTCCTGCACTGATGCACAAGGTTCCCTACCTGTCATCCTTCTTGCAGCATCCCTGACCTTACTCGTGGGTCAGGCGCCCTGTAATGAGGAACGTAGTGAAACCCTAATCTGATGACCACTTCCTGTGGTCTGTATTAGTGGGTTTGGTGGCCTGATCTAAAGCATTCCGGCAGGGGTGTTAAGCATTGAGGGAGGGGACTCAAAAGCAGGCTGATGGCAGCAACAAGTCTATCGACTCCCGTCGTCCAAGAGCCTCGAACCGGCGCCCCAGTGGCCAGATAGCTAAGGACCTGGTTTGGGCTCAGGGTTTCGGATGTGGGGTTTCGGGGTTTAGGATATCATCGTCTTGTGCGGAGCACAGATGTAAGTCTTCCCCGGCAGAGGCGTTGCAGGCCGGATGCAAAAGGATATCATCAAGACTTCCGAGAGATTAATGATGGGATTTGGACACAGCTCTTGTTCAGAAAGAATGGGATGGCTAAGGACACGGGCTAGTCTGACAGCTACTTACTTCGTAACATGCCGCCACATGGGCAAAATTGCAAAGTAGGTATACGTATGTACTCTGGCTCCCAGAACTCCTAGATATGTTTGAAATGCCCGCCGCGCCTGCCAGGACGTGATCCAAGACGACTCCAAGGACAGGAAGGGCTTGCTGAGAGGGTGAAGACATCCCTCGCCCTAATCACGAACCTGACATTCCCATTAACATTGTATATATATATATGTATATATGTACACATCTATTCCCCTGTTGTATACTATAGTATTAGGATCAGTTCTTATCAGAGTGGTTCGGGCTTAGTACTGGGCAAGGGGATTATGTGGGTTGGTTCTCATATTCCATTTAGATATGCCCTTGAGGTGGCCTAAAGCGAAGTAGGAACCCAACAAAAAAGGAAGGATGGTATGGCTTCCAAGCCTTGGCGACGAATGATTCAAACCCTCAGACACTTGAGACTGGCATTTTGGGGGGATATACTGAGGGGGCCTAACTGAACCATTGCCAACATGATTTAGCGGTCTGCTTGAGGTACCCTGTACCACAGCCATGCCAGGAATCTAGGACCATAATAGCGGCAATTCTTTAATCCCATATATTATGCTACCAGGGCCTGGGGATCCTAGTGTGGCTTCTAGGGCTCTCACCCATGCGACTCAAAAACGTTTGGGTTGTTCCATTTTGGATAGGTTCTGACCCTCGAAATGATCATGAAGACCAGACGCTAATTGTGCTGCTCTGTTGGGTCTTCTCAAAATGATGGGACCCCGCTGTGGGATCCTAATCATGGGCTTTCTCCTACTTCCAGGCCAGGGACCACAATGTTGATAACTACCAAGGTGACATTGACCTAGCCTTGTGTACAGGAGACGCGGGAAAGGCAGCGCGCCGCCGCAGAGATCAAGAGCCTTCTGTCCAGCATCCGGCCATTTGAGGACATGGGGATTGCTGGCAGCACAGGGCTGTGGGGATATATCTGGGACTCCCAAGGGACTATGGGGGGGGGTCCTTATTCAGGATTCGATGGGATAAATTTGAGGAACCTACACATTGGGGGCTTCTTTCCCCGTGGTGGCTTTTGATTTCCAATGCGTAGCAAGAGCATGTTGTTATGAGGTGGTTTAAGGGTGCCTCACAAGTGAAAAAAATAGGGTTTCCATTTGAGGAGACCATAATCCTAATGTCCTAGCACATGGATGAAGCTCTGAAAGTTCAGGAGAGCAAGTTGAATCGCTGTTTTGGCCAAGCTAGTTTCCGAAATGTGCGTGGGAAAGCGTTTTTCGGGTGCCTCAAACAAAGGAAGGGAGCCCCTTTCCTGAGACAAACCCCCAGCGGAGCTGGGCAAAAGGAGTCGCGGGTCCTGGTGCATGTCTGTAAGCGACTCACGGAGCTCTTGCAGCAAGGTATGCAGCAGGCAGGGTGCCGAGGGCAAATGTGGACAGAGGGGTTCCTTGGACATTTCGTATAGCCCCCATATGGGAAATACTGATTCCAGCTCTGATTCATATTCAAGGGCTGAGAGCACAGCAAGAGAAAACGCCAAGGTTTCGTAAGTTTAGTACTTATTCTCACGCCTGTTGGCGCCATTCACTGTAACTGCTACATCTGTAAGTTACAGTGCCCAAAGGGGAGCAGCAGCAAAGATGGCATCCAGCAATTGATCATCGAGCATGGCGTTGTCCCTATTGTGGAGATGCTCCAGGTCACTGACCCTACGCTTCTCCGCTCCGTGCTTAAAGTGGTGAACCAAATCGTTGCAGAATGGAATAGTGACTTTCAGGAGCTCTTTAGCATGGTCGGGCTCATCCCTGGTGTCATTAAGTTTGCAGGATCACAGTATACCCGGGACCTTCGGGTGGAGGCTGGCACCTTCATCTCCAAACTTTGCAACTCTGGATCCAGCAGCTTACAGATGCTTATTGCTTGTGGGGGCCTGGAGGCAATCGTGGATCTCATCTCCTACGATTACTACCAGAACCGAGACCTTGTGTGGAAGGCACTGGATGCAGTGAACACTGTGATGAACAAGAAGAGCAGCCATAGTCGCGATTTGTGCCGCATTCTAGCAAAGCACGGCCTTTGCAGTCACCTGGTTCTGCTTATCGACAATTTGGCTTCGGACATCCAAGACAAGGCTGCCGACTACCTGCAGGAGGTCATTGCTATTCTGGGCCTCTTTGCGAAGACTGGAGATTCGGTAGTCAAAGCATACATGGCAAAGCCTCCTGTCTTGGAGGGACTTATTGCCTCGTTGGAGTACTTGCCGCCGCCTTTGGTATCCCAAGTCTGCAGGATCTTCAAGCATTTGTCTCATGAGCCCTCCGTCCTAAACATGATGGAGAATGTCGGTCTTGTCCCTGTCCTGGTCTACCACATGAAGCTGCACAGTGTCTTCGAGAGAGCGACCTGGGACAGCGTAGGGAACGACGAAAAGACTCAGGATGCCAGTAGCCAGTGTTTGCTGGCACTTTCCAATCTCTGCAAACTCTCGCGCCCCAGGCAGGAACAGGCTGCTTTAGCTGGTGCCATCCCAAAGCTGATGGCCTTCGTGGAGAGAAACCACCCACTGCAGGAGCATGCGTTCGTAATGCTTTGCGATATGGCTTGTGCCTCACTGGCGACGAGGAAGTTTTTGTGGGACCAGGACGGCGGGCAGTTTTTCGTTCGTAGCCTGGCACTGCCAGAGATGCAGGTTCCAGCGCTCGAGGCCATAGTAGGCTGGTTTGGTGTCAAAGAACACAAGGCCGACTGGTGCCTACGTCTGGAAAGCAAGTTGCTGAAAGGTCCTGACTTCCTGATGAGGTTGCTTCGTCTGTTTCGGAGTGATGACAAGGATGTCTTTCTGAAGATCTTGGATCCCTTAGTGAAATTGGTCCGGATCTCCTCGGAGACAAAAACACACCTGGCAAATAGCGATGAATTTTTCAGTGAGCTCTTGAGACGTCTGGAAGGGGAAGGCGACAGCCCCGATGCCAGCAGAGTGACCAGCAGTGCGCGCTTCAACTCTGAGGACTTCTTTGGGGATCCTGACATGAGAAGGGCAGCTTTGGAGGAGCCCGTGAATGGCGTGCGCCGCCTCATCTCAGCACAGCCGGGCGCCCTGGCCGATAACTCAGTGCGAGCTCGGCAGACCCTTCTACGGCTGCTCCTTCAGCTCTGCCAGGATCTCAGCAGGCAACAGCTTGCCGCACTGGTCCAAAGATTCCGGCTCAAGGCCCACTTGCAACGCGTGGTGGCGGAAGAGCGCCGAAAGCAACGCGTGATTCTGAGTGCCATCGCCTCGCAGCTTTTGGCGATGTTTATGGAGGCATCTCCTGGCGATCTGGACATCAACCAGACGATTTAGTATCAGCGAGACTCAAAGTGGTCTTTCTCAAGGAAAAAAGACGGAGTGCCCTCTGCCAAGTACTGCGGTGGCTAAGGTGGCAACATGAGCTGCTAACTAGGGAACTGCTGGTTGGCATTGCGAGCACTAATCTGTAGACAACCAGGTTGCCCGGCATGAATTGTAGGAAAGGTAATGATGCGGTTCGTCACGCTGCAATGTTGCTTTTTGCGCATGGCTCCCAGACGGCATGTCTTAAGACAGCGTCACCACTAGCACAGTACTAGGACCGTTGGTTGAGCATTTTGTCACTGGCATGGTTGGCTGTTCTCACAGCTCGTTGCCGCGATGGTCTTGCGCTTCTTACACACGGTCGCAACCCGTAACGATCCCTAAGTTCAAGACTCGTAGTTGAAGGATGTAGGAACCCTGGAAAGGCTCTAGTAAGGGGATTGCCCGTTTCTTTCGTTGTGAGTCGCAGCCTGTTGCCAAGGCCTTGAGCCTGAGCCGGATAAAGCGGAGGAAACTCCAGCAGCCAAGCCACCTTGCTGCTGATTGGCGGGGTGGGAGGTCTCGGCAGCTCGTGGTATGAATCATACAGGTTCTATATGTTATGAATCATACAGGGTTTTCAATGTTTCTAGCGAAGAGGGTGTATGGCAGTACCAGGCCTAGATCAGAGACATGGATCACAGTTTGCCACAGGGGGCTCCTAGTTAACACCTTGGACCCAGCACGCTACGGAACGCCAAGCTTTTCATGGTGCAGAATTGCTGGCTCAGTGGCCAGCTCCTGTAACAGCCAGTAGTGCTGCGCCGGGGCATCCCAGAGGCAGAGAGGTCAGAGTTGAGCACCTCAGGAAAAAGTGGTCTGACCTCGTGGAAAGGGCATATGGGTAGAGTCTTTAAGATGTCCTGAGTATTGCTTGGGGATTCCTAGGGCCCAGGGCTCCACTGACACGCCAACTGAGGGATCCTGACGACATCCGTATCAACGTGGAGGAGCCCAAGGGCCGGAAATCTGCAGCTGTCAGGCATCGGGAGCTTTATGAAGCTCGCCCGCATTTGGGGGCTTAGACGCCGAGGTTTAAGGGGGGGGGTTGCACGCCAGCCAGGCGTGCTTCTCTGCGTAGTACGCCAACCTCCCTACGCAAGGACCTGTCGTGAGACTCGCTGAGAGTTTTTTGTTGAAGCCAAGAAGATTGTTCGTTTGATTTTTCTGACGGATGCGCAAGACCTTTACACAAGGCATGGCTTCTTCCGTGTGTGTGCAATCTTTGCATGACCCCCCTTCTTCATGTTAAAGCGTTTGATGAGCTAGTCTGTCCAAGGACTTAGGTTCGAATATCTTCGAGTATATAAACCGGGAACGTGAGAGTGTAATGGCAAGGCTCGATGTTCAAATCAAGGCAAGGGGGTTGGGTTTGCAACTGATTTCGAGGTACTGCGGAGACGGGGGAAGCTAAACCCGCCTGCAGATTAGCAGAGCCCGGAAGCAGATGTCCACACTGTTTTAACCTGTTTCGAGCTGTGAGACACATCCGGCCCGAAGCATGGCTGACATGCCGAGATCTCAGGATTTGATGAAGGTGGAGCCTGATGCGACAGAACAGGATCTTCGAGCCTTGGCTTCCTCAGATGCTCAGATGCTGTAGCTAGAGTATAGAGTCGCCTGTCCCGGGCGCGTTGCCCCCGCCGCTGCCCATAGCTACTGACACAGCAATTCAAAGCATGAAAAGATGTTTAGCAGGCAGGCAGAATTGTGGCTAACTCTCCTCGTCACGAACAGGAAATGCCTACAAAAGACGCGCACTCGCTCTACATCCCGACAAGGGTGGCAACGAGGAAGACTTCAAAGCCATGAACCTCGGCTGGAAATCTTCAAAACCACTGGGACTGAGTTCAATTAATACAGGGGTCCAAAGGATTACCAATATTATGGTCTCAGGTTCCTCATACTTCTAGTATAGAGTTTGTGAACCCAGTCAGTACCTGAAGCAGATCAATGAACTCGGAACCGATGCACACACTGCAGTAAAGTCTTTGAATTCTGGTTTTGGCCATAGTTGAGAAAAGGCCGGCAACGTGCTCTTTGCTGCCAAAGGAAATACGGTACATTCCCTAAACAGGGGGGCCCCAATATAGAGCCCAAAATACTGTAGTCCTTATCCCCCAAAATGGTAGCCCTAATTTTGGGAAACCTCCATACACAGAAAGCTTGCAGCCCGTCTGACAACTCCTCTAACCCATCCCGCGCGCAATGGCAGCTGTGAAGGCGCAACCCTCCAATATCAGGGTATATATTGCGGTTATATTGGGATAATGGAAAATAGAATGGAAACTACCACATTATTTAGGGTTATATAGTGGATCTAAGGAAATACGCCTATGACGTGCTGAACTCAGTTGCTGAGAAGACTGCTCCCCCAACTCCGGGGATGGGCAAGATTATGACTAGCTCGCGTTGGGAGTCGATGGCGGGTCATCCCTGCAAAGGATTAACAACATCAACGCAGTGGCAAGCATTGCAAATCGCAAATTTCCTGCACAAAACTACGACTGCGCAGCAAGAAGTGCCAGCTCAGGTTCTCACAGACCCTGAGAAGAGGACGGTCTACGACCTTCATGGCCAGGCGGGAACTCCTTGCCGCTCCATCCACAATGCAGCTACCCAGCCTCAAACCTTTGTTCAACTCCTTGCTTTGTGACTCCTGGAAGTTATATGGGCCAGAGTATTGTGACCACCACCACCACCACCACCACCACCACCACCACCACCACCAGCGATTACTGTCCAGGGTCGAAGTGATGGCGATTTCTTGGGGATCATGGCAGACATTTAGGGGAAGCAAAACCTACGATCACACTTAGTGCCTCCTCCTGCGTTTTCCATCTTTGGTTTTCCAAAGCCGGAGAATCTCCGTGCAGGAAGGGCTACGCCAGATGGAGATGGCAAAGCAGATGGAAGCAAACGGGCAGTCTCGAATCCGAATGAGTTCTCGCTTTTCTCGAAGTATTCTTGGGCTTAGGAGTTCAACGTAAGCATTGATTTCAGTAGGGACATTGCGGAACTTCAAAGGGAGGAAGATCACGGTTTATTACGGTAGAGCTAGCTTCCTGCAAAGCGAAGGGCGTCATTGCAGTTCACCAGCTGCCTATGTGCCAGATCTGAAGGCCCCGCGAGGGGGTTCAGCAGTCCATTTTACATCCTGAATGTTGAAAGTATGGCCCATTTGGGTGCACAACTCAAAATCATGAATTGAATGCCTGCCCTGACAAGTTGGTGCTTGGCAGCAAAGGCACACACTTTCGAATTACAATATTTGGAGACATTCTTCAAGTTTGGCGTTTGTGCTGGTTTGGACGCTGCAGGTTGTGCGCATGCATGGGACTGCTCATGGGCAGACAGCAGTGGACTCCATGTCATGCAGGAAGAGGCAGAGGAGGACTGTGGACTAAACCATTTGAAGTCAAGTGGGCTTTCATTGAGGGTCGGATGACATTTGATCACGTTTCGTTATATGTTTTGTCTCCGCAAAACAACTGGAAGTCCAAGGTTCTTTGCACCCATTGCGATGCTGCTCAGTCTAGCTGACGGCAAGCGACTCCAAGCTGCAAAAACACCTTCTAAATGTGCTTTTGTGGCTGGTGATAGGCGGCGGCCGTGTGAGAGTCGAATGTACCGTAAAGTTTCGCTGCAAAGGTTATGCATTAGCACAAAGCAGGCTCTGCAGCGCAAAGACCCGCATGTGGCTCGTGCTCAGGAAGGCTACTTGCGTTTCTTCTTCTTCTCCTTGGGTCCCTGGAACTTTTCAGAAGGGTTGGAAGGGTAGAGACGGAAGATGCGCCAGTGACCGCAACAGTAATCAGAGTCACACTCGAAAACGCAATGATGGACAGGGCCGTCTTTAAAGCATTTGCGCGGGGTTTTAACATTTTTGGTCTCAACAAGAAGTAGTGACGGTTGGTCAGCGCCCAACTTTGAGCACGGTTGCATGCAATCCACTTTCCCTAAAGGTGCGGAGTTTAGGCTTATGGGGCCAATTGTAGAGTACAGCTGGGGGATGTTGGCCCCAGGTTAGGGTCTCTAGCAGCAGCTTAAGCCTAGGGGCATCAACAGGATATCGTGACCTCAGCCTCACAGCGCCTGAAGCCAAGCACCGTACCTTTATGATGATAATGATAGGGACCTCGACCGACCCTTGAGAACGGAGCCTCAATGTTGCGATGCTCTCAGGTTGTTCTTCATGCTGCCATTTATCCTCATCACGCTCAAGTGGGACGGATCTGTCGGCTTTCACTGGACAGTGGCCTTGATCCCCGTGTGGACTCTCAGCTTGTATCAAGGAAAAGGAGTCAAGGTAGCTTTTGGGCTTGTGAGACTCCAATTGAGGCAGGAGGGCGTAGAAGGAAAGTGCAGAATGCTAAGACTTGGACCTGTCAGAACGCAAGGGGATGAAAGAAACTTCGCAGCGAAAACCCCACCAGTAAATGCACGTTTTGCGGGCAGGCTGGTTCAGTTGCCCATTTGGTCGCAACCTCAGTATGGAGAGGCGCACAGATACTTGCAATGGTGCAAAATGTTTTCTTGGACTGGACACCGGAATGCCAGTCGTGCTTTCATCTGGATGCCTGGAGCCTGTAGCTAGGGAATATTTGAGAAAGGAACGTGCCAGTAGCATACTGGGCAGACTCAGTCATCAATCCACATACGGATGGTACCCCTCCAGGCAGCATCTCTGCTGTTATAGCCCTGGGCGTCCCCCTACCAGAATTGGACCAAGCGCTGACACCTTCCTGTCCTAAGTTGCATCCAGCAGTGTGTGGCCCCGGAGCCTCCAGAGGGAGATGAGGAGGCAGCTCCTGGAAATCCGTGTAGTAGGGACTTGGTGAATTTGTCAGTACAGACTGGGGAACTCGTAAAATCATTCAGCTCCGATCCTTGTTGCAGGAACTTTATCCTGAACCTGGCCATTGCACTAGGAGTAGGAAGAAAAATCGCTCACCCGCAATAGCATGCCCCTGCTTGTATTACATGGTAGTTTCCATGAACCCAATATAGACCCGAGTATATTACAGCCCTTCATGCGGGGACCCCAATTTCTGGGAACAGAGAGGCTGGAAGTGCAAAGATGGGGTAAGAAGTGCGGAAGCTAGCTTGCTTGTTGCAGTAGAGCTCCGGCATACAGGGTTGGTTTGTTTGGGAGTTCGATTGTCCAGTCTGTTGCGTGATTTGGGTTTGAGATGGTCTGCAAGAATAGATCTAGATTCCTGTGTATATTGGCTTGGTTTTGAACTGAGAGTTAGGGTGGAAAGACAAGCTACTTATATTAGTATTACTATCGCTATTATTAAAACTATTGTTATGCTTATTGGCGGGGTGCCTTGAATGCGAAGTATTCCGCAAGGGTTGTGGCTGTACGCCGCGCAACGGGTCCAAGCCTAGATCTTACAATGTTGCAGCGCCAACAGCTGGAAAGGATGCACATGGCGCGTTCCCATTTCATTCTGCAGAGCCTTTTTTCGTCATTTGGTGGGATGCATTCATTCCGCCAGCTTACATTCTTGAGATTCAGTCACGAGTTCAAAGCTCAGCATGCCAACCCCGAAAGCGCAGTCGGTGTGTGGATGTGTGTGTGTGTTGTGCAGTACCGGATCCATGCATGGGGTGCACCCGACTGACTTGCTTGATTCCACATGCTTTCTCGCTTTATCACCAGATTATGAAGAGCTTTGTCCTCAGCAGCATTGCAATGCTGACCTTTTCAAGGTCGTACCCATGCACAGCTCAGGTGTTTGTACAGAGTGCAGGCATCCAGAAGTAATGATGCGCTGCTGAAAAGGCATACTAAGTTCAGGATTTGTCCAGCCACAGGGCAAAACAGGGCCTGCCAAGTTCTATGTGAAGTGCATGGCAGGAATGGGGCGAGGACGAGCGCCAGAACTTCAAGCAGCAAAAGAAGGCCGGCAAAATGAAAAGAACAGTGAACCTGTTTTTGTTTTTGGCACCCAGCTGCAAGGACACAGGCTGCCTATCTGGAACAACATGGTGCAAAGGGAAGAGGAAGACAGACAGAGAGGGGGGGCATCGTCCGGACTTTGATGCCTGGAATTGTTTTTGGCTGGTGACACCTCCAACATGCGTAGCATTATGTTCCTGCTCGGACGCCAGCGGCACAACACACGGAAAGAAGGAGGAGAAAACAAACAGAAGAAGAAGTGTGAGCGAGCGAGCAATTAAGAGAGCGAAATCGAAAGGAGCGTATCAGGCTGCTGCAGATCTTTTGCCAACTGTACCCAACAAGTGGGCAGAGTCGGAGATCGTGAAGGCACTTATGCGAAACTTTATTGAACTCCTAGTGCTTTCTACGAAAATACTTCCAGACAGCCGTTCCCCCTGGATGTCGGGCAGGAAGCGCGCTGGATCCATTGTCAGGGCCTGGTGGTTCTGGGGCTGCTGCTGTCCTTTCAGATCTTGGTCCTGCTTCGACTCGAGGCCCGAAAAGCTTTGGGATTCTCAGATAGGTCCATCCTGAATCCCAATTGCAATGAACAGGCTGGGCAAGCAGGAGGTCTTTCCTCTCAGCCTCCAGGCCCACACGTGTAACAGCCTGCTCTGTATGTTGACTTTCTTCGGTTCCGTGACTTTGAGAAAAGTTTGTCTGTTCTTAAGCCCAGCGTACCCCAATTGCAGTTGATGATGGTTCCACATTTACCGGATCCCAGGGTAATGGAGTTACAAGAATCTCTCAAACCTTTTCAACTCCTCGCCGGATCCTTAGAGCAACCTCTAATCTATCCCCCTTATAATTACGCACTACGCCCCATAATCCTGACCCTTAAATGTCCCCCAAAAACCCTTATAACATCTTCAAAATCTAGCCTGGAAATCCTTACCCGGAAAGGTTGATCACTGGGCTCAAATGTGTGACATGGGTCTAGGAATTGCAGATGCAGTGTAGGAGCACATGCCAGCAACATTAGTTCAAGCAAGTATATGCGTCTGCTCAAACTTCTGGGTTGTAATACTGTTGTAGTCAAGCCACCTGTCATGGGGACACAATGTTCTTTTGGATTTAACAGAGTAATATGGACCTTCCATGGATGTCCCATGTATTTTCATAAACATTTAGCTATTCGAGGGTTATCATCGGAGTACCTTTTTTCCGAGAAGTATCTAGAAAAATTGCCGGGAAGCCCATGGAATTTTGAGTAGTTTAAGGGTTCCTGCGTCAAATGCTTAGCTGTGAAGAGCCGCAGGGAGACATCACCGCCTCCTGGTTTCTCGTGCGGCTTGGCATCATTGGGATGACTGTAGTGACCAGGGGTGGTTGGATTTGTGAGTCCTCTGTCTGGCCATCGTTGCAGGAAGGATTGGTGCATTTGAGGAGGATAGCAGGGATTGGACCGCGACTTTTGCTAGCTGCTGGAGTCACACAGTCACGGTCGCCGCTGTCCAATCAAAATCAGGCTTTGTAGTGACAACTATCCGCAGATTGCTGCCCGCTGAGGATGCTGCCAGGCGTCCTACTGGAGGCTGCATCATGCATGGGATTAGAATGCCTTGCAGGATGTCAATGGGAGCTTTAAACAAACTACCTTCGTGCAATCTTCAGAGAATGCTTTCTAATCCCCCTACCATGTATACATACCCGCGCGGCTGTTAGCAGTACAAAGAGCCTGAGAAACTTCACATCTCGCAGCGAATGGCCTGACATTCCCTATGACAGTTCATACACAGGGATTAGCAACAAACAAAGTGTGCCCCAGCATATAACCCATTATTGAGGAATTGAGGTTGCCATCTTGTCCATTCGCCACCCCACCCCTGCACAACCCGTCATCAGGGTTCCCACGTTCTGTTCTACTTTCACCCATGCTGTCCACACCTAGCCAGGCGTGGTGGCTGGTGCTGAAGGTGAGAATTTCACCCATCAAGTGGGCAATGACAGACCCGGTGGCTGCAGCAGAAGCGCATTACGCCGGCAGCGTTTCTTGGCATCCAGCACACATGGGAACCGCTAGAAGTCAGGGCAGCTAAGCTAAGGGAGCTTGACCACAGCAGCCTTCACTTAAGTTAGGTCTGCCTTCGATCCCTAAATCTCTACCAAAGGAAGACCCTGCCAAAACCTAACTCCCTATTGACCCCAGCAGAACCCCAGTTTCCATGTCACTTTCCCTTTGAGTTTCCTTTCTGGTATATTATTTTCGTTTTCATTCCCTAAACCCTGAGCCCTTTACCTCAGCCGTCGTGATTTGAAAAACAACCTGACCTCAGCAACCCAGGTGTGGAAGTCGAGGAAGTTCTGGTACTTCATGTTTGGCAGCTGAACCGCACTTATCCACTGCCTCCCATTCAAAGAAAATTATCGCAGAGTTGGTCTGGATAGTTGCAGCACCATGACAAATTCCAATCTTGATTCGGAATTCCAAGTTGCAGTCGCACTGGAGTCACTATACAAGGCGCAAATACATGCGTAAACAGCGGTATACATTGGGAAATTCCTCCTTACAGCATCAGTTGCCACAAGGGGTAGTAGGAGTGATACTATTAGTAGGACAATGAATGCAAGGGGGAAAGGCCCAAATGCAGTCAATCCCCTGTTCCTTAGCACAAACAACAGGCCAAGACCCCTAATATTTACCCCAGCTCAGAGTTTGGAGCATGGCAGGGAATTCTCTGGACCCTTACACGTAAATGTGGGGTATGTAGTAAGTTGTTATGCATCTGAGGGTCAAGTCCCATGCTAGGGGCCCATGGTTTCAACCTTAAGGATTTGCTAGTGCGAGATGTGGTGCCGAAGGTTTCGTGCAGCTGGGCATGATGCGGCTTATCGCAGCAGCCTTGGAATTCGGATTTGCCTAGAATTGGTGGGGTCTGTCTGGCGACCAAGAGCTTCCAATCGAGCACATAATTTCTCAATCTGCCACGGCTGTCCTGAACAAGCATGGGCTACCCACACCCTGCTGTGAAAGCTGGCACGCGGCGTCCATTCCTTGCGAAGCCTGAAAGATCCTCTTTGACCTGTTTTTTGCTGTTGGAGACTACGTGACTAAATATGTTGATAAGAATCTGGTTTAAGGCCCTTCTGTTGCTCGCTGAATGCGCCGACTCTGGCAGCATGTCCTGGCAGCTGGGCAGCAGCAGTGGGCAAGCGCCAGACTCCCGAGCAAAGAGAAGAGAAAACCACTGTGCTTCCTAATTCCCTTGGCTCGTTGTAGGTAGGCTTGGCAAAGCATCTGGAAGGCTGTTATAGCTTTGGATTCGAGGGATGTGGCCATGGTGCAAGAAAGCGCCACGATCTTCCTGATTCCCTCATTCTCGTCCAGGTGGGTGGTTCCAGTGCCGCTATACTTCTCCGCAACATTTCGCATTTTGAATGCTGCGCTTGCGGCTTGGATTTGTTGGGAAGCCGTAGGTGGATGTCGAGTTTAGAGGTTTGCTGATTGGAAGGCCTGCTGTGATTTCCCGGAATGCAATAGTCGGGGGGTGGTGCAAGATGACCTGTGTGGTAACAACTTGCATAGTCAGGGAAGTAAATAGACTGAATGCACCAAACTCATCAAGAAAACTCAGACCCTGACCCTGCGATGCCCCTGGCCCTGCAAGTCTCAAAATCCCTGCACGCCATGCAAGCTAAAATATCCACAGCTGCCGAAGTGAGCACCTCCAAACAAATGGGACCCTCTTCTCTCTCTATACAAATATGAATATATATATATATATTCAATTATATTCATATACACCCAAATTACAACAGAGCTGTTAACGAGAACCCCCCAGACAGGACTCTAGTATATCATGGCATATTGTAGCATCTATTATAGTATGTTCTAGTGTATATGTATTCATATATGGTTGTATACTCTAGTATAATATAGTATAGTTTTATAGCATTATGGTATATTATGGTATAGCACTGTAAAGTATACTATAGTATATATGTAGTATAGTACAGTTTCTATTATAGTAGATATATATACCAAGATTTGTGAAGCCCTCAAGTCAGGAGGCTTGCGGATCCTCCTCTCGGCCAGGCTCAGGCTTGATCTTCTGGGCTCCTGATGGGGAACTTGACTGAGCCATAATCTAAACTCCCTATGGGGGGGGGGTTATGATTATATAAGGTGTTATATAGGGGACTACCCTGGGGGGTATTAAGCTGGATACTTGGGGTTTAGATGATGGCTCACATGAAATTACCATTATAGGGTCTGGAGCCTGCAGCAAAAGGGCTTAAGTTACCAGCAGGTTCAACTGGTCGGGGTTTCAGGTTTAGGGTCTAGCTTGGGTTTGGCCTTCGGTAGCTTTTGCTGGTACAGGTTTGAAAAGTTCTTGCAATCCCGCAAGTGTGGGGTTGGGGTAGGGAGGGAGAGCCCACGGGATCTGCAGCAACTCCACTCTCAAGCCGCGAGAGGACTTTCCGGGTGTCCACCCTTAATTGGTATCTGTTTAGGCTTGACACAAGGATCTTGCATGCCCGAACAGGCGCCCACGAGTTTTGTGGGGAGGCGAGCAAACAGACGTGGGCAGACCGTCTAGTGCAGTTTCTTGCAACAGTCAGCAGTTGTTCTTGGGACCATGTCTGGCTAGTAAGTGGGGACCGGTCGGACTTCATTTATATCCGCTTCGCAACGGAGTTTTTCAGAAACTTGGTGGTTGTTCGTAAGGGAAAAAGGGAGAGTATACTCTATTCCCTTATTCCTTACTAACCCCTAGCAGGGAAAGGCCTTCGAGGGAGCCGTTCCCCTTCGATTTCCTTGCATCATCCTTTCCCATCTCAAAGCCAGGCCGGGCCATCCCGTGTAGCAAAGCCATAATTTCACGCCCCGTCAAATCTTCCATCTACGTTCAAAAGACTTTGGGTTTGTAACCTAGGGACCTCGGGCTTTGGGTCTCAAATAACCCAAATAAGGGTTGTATTCCATGGCTTAAGGATCCAAACCCAAAGGTACAAACCCTATAAGGGTACCAGGGGAAACTCCCTGCTACTTGGCCTGTGGCAAGGCATTGCTATGGCAGCTGCCGGCCTGGCTGTGGCTTTCTGGCTGACGATGTTGCTGCTGGCCATAGGGAAGCTGGACGGAATCTCGGCCCAGCAGGAGAAGACAGCATCAATATGACTTGCAATCATGATGAGAATGCAGTCATCATAGTGAGAAGGGTGCTTGCAATCATAAACAGCTTTATTTAGAGAACCTGGAGGTGGATTCCCTCGGGCAAGTGCTACATCAGTCAGTGGCATAAGGCAGTACAGGTGTTCTGGTGGGTAGACTGGTTTGAGCTTCCATCCGTCAGGAAATTACTGGCAATACAGTTACAGTGCCCAGTTCAGAGCAGGTACCACATATACTCATATGGGGGTCCCAATAATAAGGACTATAGTATTTTGGCGTCTATATTTGGGTGCCCCTATTTCGGGAGACCACCATATCCAGGATTTTGTCCTGGCTGAATGACTCCCGAGGCGGCACCTATTCCGCTGGCTTAGTCTTCTCACCGCTCTTCACGTTATTTGCTGCTGCCACTGAGTCGCAGCCATCATGAAAGGGTACTAAAGGGTGGCATAGCGCCAACTCGCACTAAACCCCTGATGCTGGCGAGGAAGATTCCTCCTTATGTGGAGTTCCGACATGTCAGCCATTCTTAATCGTTGCTGGGTTTCTGCAGCCTAGGTGACATGCTTGGTCAGCATCTTGGTAGGATGCTGGCCACGTGATCACTTGGAAGACATGGCGAAAGCAATGGGCGAGCCCATTGGGCGCCCCGCCGAGACGGAATGAGAACTTAGGAGGGATTATGGAAAATAAAATGGAAACTACTATAGTATATTGGGGTTATAATAGGGTTAATATTGGGGTAATATAGGGATGATGGAAAAGAAAATGGAAACTACTATAATGGTTGGCTTCTTTCATAGGCGCCCGCCAGTAGTGTTAGTTAACGGTTTTGTCCAAGTGTTCCCGCGCGCGCGCATCGCACCAGGCTATGTCAGGATCGTAAACAGCACATACGGATTCGTATTTCTGCAAGGGTTACGGGGGTTGTCCGGGCATTTGGTTTGAGACAGCAGGTGCAGGCGCGCAGGACCACTGGAAATCTCAATCCATGTGGATTGGCTGAAGTCCGGACAAGGACTTGTACTGTGTACAGACGACGGACCTTTTTTTGGCATGCGATGTCGAGGCATGCAAATAGAATTATTTGTCTATTCGTTATGTCCAAAGGTGGTCTCAGGTGCCTTTTGCCGCCTCACAACGTGAGCGCTCTGGGTTGGATTTTGGTCAAGTTTGCATCTGGGAACCAATTGTGCACCATACCCAGTACTTTGGCATTGATTCTAGTATTTCTAGTCCTGCAAAATCTCACTGGAGGCAGTGGCGGTCGGAATGCTGATGAGGATGACGGCTACTTAAGCTACCGAAATAGTCGCTTCAGTAACGCCAACGGTTTTTGCAGTAGCCGGCGGCAGTGACGTCCTAGAGCAGCAGTAGCATGTAGGGCGATCAGCAGCCGTGACCTTTGCATGTGGTAGTGATAGAATCAGCGGGAGGAAGATCTACGTAGTACTACTACAGCAGCAGCATGAAGTAACTTGAGTGGCCGGGTTTGCAGGAGCCATTAGCCCTAGCTAGCAACATTGCATGCGGCGCCAATGACACCAGTGGTACGAACAGGAAACAGGAAATGGTAGGAGTAAGTGCTAGTAAGTATCATCCATTACTGGCACCATCCTTGGTTCTTGTCTTGTCTGCCCAAGCACCCCAGGCTCCTGGGAAGCCGCCATTGGTATGAGGGTTGAACTCACTTGTCTGCTGCGTCCTGCAAAGCAGGCACCGCAACTTGTGAGGTTCCGGTGCCAGCGCCAGGTAGAAGAAAGAGCTATGGCTTCTCGCATTGCTTTGGCTTTCGCTTGTTCTTGAATTGCATGGTCAGCATGGT